TGGACATGACTCACCTTTTACTGAACGTAATACTGTGAGGAGGAAACAATGCAATTTGAAGATGCCTTCCACCAGCCAGGGGTCATGCTGGGGTCCAGACTGTTTATTTGTGTGTGTGTGTGTGCGCGCGCGTGTGCGTTAGACTGATTGACAGCCTTGACAGTTTTGGCAGTTATAAGATTCGGAGGTGAGCATTTTGATTGATGATTCCATGTGGGTGGCAGCCTGTAGATTAAAACCTCTAGTAGACAACACACACACACACACACACACACACACACACACACACACACACACACACACACACACACACACAGTCGACTCACATTTATTATTTGGAGGCATACTGTAAGCCATAACTATCATTCACTGTCTTACCGCAATGCCGTTCTGCCGTTACTGTCTCATCTCTACATTTAATACACTATAGAACAAACGTGTGGGTACGTATAGATGAAAGAAGACCAACTCAGTACTTTGCTAAATGAATATAATTTATTCAAGTGACCTCACAATTACAACTATACTTTTATAGACACTGCATGAATAAATAAATAAATAGCTGTAATTTCACTGTCAACAAACATCATTTTCAGTGCTGCATTTAAAGGTAAACTAATTTGTTCCTATGCTTTTTTCTTTTTTTTTTCCTGGTATATACATTTATCACACAAAAATACAGCGTCATTGTTATTTACGACATAGAGCCAAAAACGTGTCAGTCCACCAGCTGACGTTGATTCTTTTCTGCGTGTGCGTTCCGGTTTGTGGATGAACCCTGGAAACTACACACTCATCTGTTGAGGAGAACATTTACATTCACATTTAAGTCCAATGAGATTGCCTGACACTTTGCATAGCATCAAACCAGACCGCCCTGTTTGAAGCTGAAGCTGATTTATCATCGATCCTAAAACTGGTTCAGGTCAGATCAGGATCTAGTAGGTCCTACTATACCTCAGCTGATATGGCTGCACGTGGGGATCAAGTCCCCTTTGCTCTCTGTAGACTAACTTCAAGGCCATTCTGACATCTTAAAGGATGAAGGCTGGTGTTATTCTAGATCTTTTACATTGTGACCTAATTGCCTAAAAAGGCAAAAATCATAAATAATATGATTGTAACAAGTTTTGCCACTGAAGACGAAACCTTAGCTTTCCTACCTCCAAAACAAAACACCATACTTCTGGGATCAATAAGGATTACGTAAAAGGTTGAAAAAATTTGGGAAACAGCCAGTTAAAATCCTTAAACTTTCCAGATTAAAACGCCTGTTCAAGATCACCTACTGGTGCAAGTCCAGACAGCTTCCAGCACATCTGCTATTTTTTGTCACTCAGTAGCAGTCACATTCACTTGTACCTCTGCCAGTTATGCTTGATCTCCTCCGGTGTGCCAACACAGTAAAGCTTCAACTCCATTTATATTTTTGGCAAGTGCTCACATCGTTTGAGGTCATGTTTTTTCAGATGCCAGTAGAGCAGTAGGACTCCACAATGGTAGTCTCACCCTTCTTGTCGTACTCATGAGCTGATGTTGCTCCTTCATGGTTTGAACCTACAAACCTCGATCAGTTTGAAGCAGATGTTGAGGTTTGTGCACAATTTTGAGGTCTGTGATAAAATCTCCCAGAGCAAGTGGTCATAGCAGGACTATCAGAAAGCAATGCAAAAATAGCAGCAGCACAAGAAGCTATCTGAGAAGGTGATCTTGAGGGAAAAATGTAAACCAGGTATAGCTCGCTGAACTTTTTGAGGTCAGAGAGGACCAAAAGACCGACTAACACATTGTTGATTTCGGTCTCACTTGGTAATAATTGTTGACAAAAACATCTAGAATTTTACCAGCCTTATCCTTCAATGGAAAAATATTTCACACATGTCACCTTTTCAACATGTTCCTAAATCACTCATTTTTTACCACTGACGTTTGAATTAAGGCAAGTCCATAAAATTCAAAAAGACACCAACGAACCACAACGATGCTAAGAGGAGATAAACACAGTGAAGTCAACTGGACAACAGTAACACATAACAATGCCAAAAATCTTCTTAACTTGACAGATTTTTTTGTTTCTTTTGTTCTTTTTTCCACACAGGGCAGCAGTGTGTCTGGTAGTTTAAAACTGCCAGGCCCGTGACAATGTAAGGACTTAAACTGAACAATGTATGAGGGTGCTCAATCAAGTAACACTTCAATGTTCATCACTGCTAATATCGCACTGTAACACACTCCTTACAAACCATAATTTTTGAACCTCTGTGCAGCATTAATCAAATGTCCTGAGGGCTGATCGACTTGGGGCCGGATCGATGATGACTGGTGCTACTAACACCATCCTGGAGGAACAATCATTTCCTGTCCCCACTAACCTGCTGTGGCTGGCCAGTCAATACAGCTTTAGGATGAGAAAACAAACTATCATAGGCGCGCGCACACACACACACACACACACACACACACA